GCCCCCTAAATGTCAGAGTTCTCAGTCAGACTTGAAAGCACGTTTAAACAAGTCCTTGGCAACCTCCAAACCATTCTTGGTGACCTCGATATCCCTGCTGCCAGCATTTACTGCTCTAAACAGAGCATCAGAGACACAACTATCAAAGGCAGTGCGCACCTTAACTGAATCCAAATTTAAGTAAACCAAGTATACAAACACATTCTTTTAGGTAAAAAATGTACTGTGGAGAAAATGAACTGTGGATTAGGTATGGGAAATATTTTATATCAGTCAATTTTGAGTCTGATTAAAGTTTCAGCAATCATAATTTAAAGTAGCATACTAAAGTATTTACAAGTGAAACTGTATATCTAGAATTTGCTTTAAAAATATTCCATAAATGACTACCAGTACCAAATCCCTTGAAAGGGGCCATGTTAGAAGATCCTGGATAAGGCAGTAGAAAAATGTGGAACAAAACCCCAAAATGATAAGAACAAGCTTACTGGCTGGACTGGAGGAACCCCCAAAACTGGACCTTAGTAACCCTTCAGGTCTGGATGTGAACGCATCTTGGCAGCTCAGATTTCAGGCCAACAATATCCAAATCCAACAGGGAACAATGTAACACTCGTGCAGCATGCACACCTCAGTGTCGTCAACCATTTAGGGTCAAAAGGTAGGATTTACCCAAAAACAAATTTCAGAAGGGTTAGGGAAGGAGAAACAGAGGCAGGAAACAGAGGGGAAAGTGGGATAAGCTGATGGTTCACTGAGAGGACTGCAATGAATGAGGTACAGCAAAATGTGTATGAACTGTTGAATGTAAACACGATCACTTGTTCTGTAAATCTTCATCCAATCCACACACACAAAAAATGCAGAAAAATGATGGAATAGAAGATGCTTCAAATAAGAATGGCAAAATAATTGGTAACAGAATCTGAGTGATAGGGACACAAGGGCTAATTTTTACTTCTGTGTATGATAGTTAATAATGATTTTATTATAATTATAATAATGTAATCATGTAATTAGACTAAAGAATTCTAGTTATTTACATGGATTAATTCTAGAATTAGAATCATTTAAATCATATTTTAATTATGATTATGATATATTAAATCATAAACCAAAATAACTCCTGAAATCTTCTAAAATGAAATAGTCTAACATAACTAGTTTAAGCATAAGAGCCTGGAGCATAATACTCTCTTTTTTCCTTTTTTTTTAAAATTAATACTCTTTTAAGAATTAACTACAAGAGAAAGCTCAGTGCTATCAGTCAGCTCCAACTCATAGCTCTCCTCGAAGGGCAGAGCAGAGGGGCATCACACAGCTTCCACGGCGATGCATGTTCATGCAGCAGGCTGCGGCCTCGCTATCCCTCCAGCAGCTGATGGGCCACTGCTTCAACCACCGCGCCACCAGGGCTCCTTATGAGCTCTCTGCAGGAATCGCACTGACAACAGCAATTCAAAGACAGGAACCTTAAACCAAAAAAGCTCACTGCCATCGAACTGATTCCGATTCACAGTGACCCTCTGGGACAGGGCAGAACTGCCGCTGTGGGCAAGAGCTGGCGGTTCCAACCGTTCACCTTGCAGCGAGCCCCCCAAGGCGTAGCCACTACACCAGTTAGGAGCCTTTACGTGAATGGTGGAGAATCAACTCAGAAAAGGAGGCTGAAAAAGGGTCACACACTGGACGGATGTAATCAGCGTCACCCAGTGGTACCTGCTGAGGCTGTTGAATTGGTGCGTGCTTCAGCTGTGTGTATTCTCAACAACAATAGATATAAAATCCTTTACTTCTTAAAAACACGTGTGATGTTGGGCCAAAGCCTCAATTTGTTTTTCTCATGTTAAAAGAGTAAACTCCCGCCCCACAAGTTACAGAAAGTTTAAGTTGATTTAGAGTGAAAGTTCACCATTTCACTTTTTCACTAATTAAAAAGCTATTTAGTTCACAGCTATCAAGTACCATGCATATAATAAACACAAGATAATATCACTGTAAGTAATTTAAAGTACACATCAAATTCTAATGTAATCTAATTTAAACTTACCATAAGAGTTAAAAAATTCACACGTCTTAAGAGAGGCTTCATAATTAATAACAAGTTCCTGGATTATAGAAACCTGTTTAAGAAAAAAGTTTATAATTTTAAAATGCTTTCCTGAAGGTATTTACACTTACTATAGCTAAAACATTTAGACCTGGCAAACAGCACACAGCTTATCTCAAAATTGTAAACGGAAGCAGTAAGGTCGTTGCTGGTTTTGCCCCAGAACCCCCTGTGAGGGAAAGCATGGAACACCTACGGTCTCAGCTGACGGCAACACAGAAGCTTGTTAATTTTTCATTTCGATGAACTGTTTGAAGTTTTAAAGAAAAAAATTATCACTAGGAACTACAAAACATTTATTATTACAGTAAATACACCCAGAAAAATTGTGTCTCATGGAATTCAGGACAGATGGACCCTGAGGAACAGTGGTGGGAGAGGGGATGTCATGAGGGGGGAAAGGGGGGCCGGGGGGTGGAGGGAAGAAGAAGGGAGGGGGAACCCATCACAAGGTTGGGTATATGGCCCCCTCCCCGGACGAGTAGCAGAAATGTGGGTAAAGGGAGACAACAGACATAGTGATATTGATCAAGGATTTATGAGGGTAGGAGGTTGGGGGAGGGGGAGAAAAATAGAGGAGCTTGTATCAAGGGCTCAAGTAGAAAATTTTTTGGAAAAGATGATGGCAACATATATACAAATATGCCTGACATGGTTGATGTGTGGAATGTTTTAAGATCTGTAAGAGCCCCCAATGAAGTGATTTTAAATAAGTAAATATTAAAAAATAAAGATGATTACCAAAAAATGTGTCTTTTGCTTCCTAATGTGTTATTTTGTGCAGTTATAAAGCATTCCATAGATTCTTGTGAGGTAGACAGATAAATGTATTTAAATTTCCTTTAAAAAACTACTCAATACAATAAAGTTAAATGAAATTATACAAATTATATATTGAGTGGGTGGAAGATAAGCTAGACTCCAAACTAAATATTTAAACTACCTTTATTTTTAATGATTATTTTAATAAAACAGATGGCACCTCAACACTCCAATCAAGTAGAACTAAAATACTATAGACTACATCAGTGTTTCCCAATTTGGGCAATACTGGTCAGCTTGGGAGCACTAGAATGATCCAGGGGGAAGGGTCTGTAGAAGCAGATACCTACACTTTATCCTGGATTATGGGTTATTGTACAAAAATTTATCACTCCTCACGGGGGCGGGGAGGAGTAGTTATGTAGAGTACATACGTGTTGTGTTATGCCCTTGAAAGTATCAAAGGAAAAGAAAAGGGGCAAGAATTGGAATGATGGGAAGAAAACAAGTACTTGACTTATAGTTAATTCTAAACAGCTGAATTGGAAAATATGACTTTCTTATTCGTGAACTTTAAAACTTATTTAAAAAATAAATAAACCTTATTTTACTGAAAAAGTTCAGAAGTGAAGATTGCCATTAACACTTTTAATAAAAGTCCCTTACAAATATAGGATTATTTTAATCAGGAGAACAGACAATGATGATTATGAACATATTCTAAGTTTTAAAATACAGAATACTGTTGTGCCAGCAGGAAAAAGGGAGAGGGGGTAGGTGCACAATGATAAACCAATTTCTGTTGTGAATACTTTCTGCATATGATGCTGATAAGTATAAAAGTCAACCGCAGGCACCCTGTATTCTTTCTATGCATGCTTCTAGGTAATGCATTTTCAACAAGTTTATGAGGAGTGCATTTTATTAGTGCCATTTTTAGGCAAAGGGGGGAAAAAGCTAAAGTACACAATAGGGAAGCAAAATTTCAAGCCAAGGAACAGATCACCAGGGTTCACAGCTTTTACCTACTCAGACACAGCAGGCAGTGGATGAACTCTGGCGCATTTATTACTACCTGGTAATTCTTGCTCAAATCACCTTTAGTGTGCATGACACCAAGTGGTATAGTCAATGGAAAATACACTGTGCTGTGGATACTTGCCATCAAGTCAGCTCTGACTTGTGGCACGCTGCTGCTCCACAGGCTTTTCAAGGCTGTCAGCTCTTGGAAGCAGACTGCCCAGCCTTTCTCCCCAGGTACTCCAGCGTGTCTTTGAAGCACCAACCTTTTTGGCTTCAGTTGAAATCTTAACCATTTTTCCCACCCAGGGACTCCGGGAAAATGTACTAAGTACATCAAAATTCAGAGAGTAGTAAGCATTTACACAAACAAACAAACAAACAAACTCACTGCCATCAAGTCAATGTTAACTCACAGCAACCCCTTTAGGTTTCCAAGACTGTTTATGGGAGCAGAAAGCCCAGTCTTTCTCCCTCAGCGCTGCTGCTGGTTTCGAACTGCTGAGCTCTAGGATCGAAGCCCAACACCTAACCACTACACCACCAGGGCTCCTTAAGCACTGAAACAAGAACACTAAAATTGAGGTGGGAGTTAGGGGAGGCAAAACATATATAAGAGAGAGAAAAAAGTGAAAGAGAGCTTAGGATGGGCGAATTTTAACAAACTTTGATGAGGTATTAAAGAACATACTTGCAAATCTACATTCCCAAGTTGAAGAGCACACTTGGAAATCTACATTCCCAAGGTGAATTCCCAAAGAACTGTAAGTTGGTGTTTTTTTTAATGTATGGAAATTTATTTTGGGGAAGGGCACACGGGGGCCAAGACAGGAGTAGTATCATATCATAGACAGGGAAAGCCAGCCAACCAGTTTCTTTCCTTTGTGAACGCTTTAAGCATTAATTGCAGCAGTATATAAATAAGGCAACATAAACGTGAGAGGGTTTATTCAGTTTATGAATTATGATGCTATACTTCTACCTATTCCCCCCCAAAAATAAAATTACACTAACTAGGCAATGGAGAGTGTGGTGGTTCTATACATTACCAGTGGAGGAAATGCGTAAACAATAGAAAAACCATATATGACAAAGACAAAAAGATACAGTGTGGTAGTTATATAATCCTTTGTCAATTTGAGAGGATTACGAGGGAAGGGGTGGAGTCTAGCGTGTCAATCATTGTACAGCCATTGAAGCCTCTGTAAGGGCATGACCTTCCCCTGAGGATTCTGGAAATGCCTGGTTTTTCCCTCCCTGGAGGCAGGAGACACACTCTTTCTGCTCACTGCCTTGGAGACTCTCTACTGACAAGACTCAAGACTCACTCCCTGAGAGACGCTCTCCGGACAAGACACCTGGCACTATGCGGAGAGACCCTGTGCCCTGGAAATTGGTGGAGACCCCTGTCAGCACTGAGATGCTTACACCGCCACTGGAGCCACAAGACTTTGCACCCACTGGCCTATGATCTTCCTGCATTTGGCGTCATTGCATGTGTTTCGTGAGTGTGAAGAGGACTTTTTAGATTGGTATCAGACATATGGGCTAATATCGGACTTAGGGACTTGATCTGGACTGGACTGGAATGTTTTCTCAATATTCAACTGCTCTTGTATATAAATATTTCTTATTCACACAAGTCTCTATGAATTTCTTTTTCTAGTCTACCCAGACTAACACATATAGCTAAACAGACTAGGGTGGGAGAAAATGGGGAATGCCTTTTCGATTTAGTAGTACAAGCGGGTACCCTCCCCAGAAAATGCCTAGCATTTTTCCTGCTAGGCAAGCATAGAGCAGCTTGCTCTGAGTTAGTGCACACAGTGGCATCGCCTGGGAAGGTTCTCTCTGGTCAGTGAATTTTTCCATAAAAGCAGTTTAGCTAGAACCTTGCTTTTTGTGATGGCTGATTTAAGAGAATAGTGTGTGGCTGTGAAAATTTGTTTCTGCTCGGGAAAAATGCCACAGAAACTGTTGTGATGTTGAACACAGCTTATGAGGACAGCACTATGGGGAAAAACTCAAGT